GCTGCTTTGACTGCAACAAACTGCATGCAGTTGCTGCTTTGACTGCAACAAACTGCATGCAGTTGCTGCTTTGACTGCAACAAACTGCATGCAGTGAGAGGCTCAAGTTTTAGGAGTCGCTTTCTAATGAATTTGTTGTAAATTTTATTATTTTTCTAGTAACCATTTATGTTATTTGAAGGAAATAAGTCGGTAGAAGTAAAAATTGAAAATATAATAGCCAGAAGATTCACATTTTTATATTATGAAACATTTTGCTGTTTGCCTTATTTTCATTTTGTGTTGCAGAATCCAAGGTTATGAAGGGGTAACAATTTAAATAGTTTAGTCGCAGTTTGTTCAGATTAAATTTTATTCTTGATTTTATTTTGAAAAATAGAAATCGACAAGGCGAGAGATATTTATTAATTGTCCTACTGATAATGCCAGCCCCTGAAAACGAACGTCTAAGAAATGTACAAAATTTTCATGTGGTGAAAATTCAGTGAAAACGAAACGTTCGTGCGAGGTAAACGAGCGTAGAAAGTTGAAGTTTTATATGAAATTTAAACGTTTCATGGAAATTGAAAAGAGTCTTGGAATGTGAAACGTTATTTCGTGTAAATGGAAACGAACCACGCAAGAAAAAAACCGTTTAATGTGAGACGAACGTTTGAGCTACAACGTTTATTACAGAACGAACGTTTGAACTATAACGTTATTAGTGCTACAACGAAACCGTGATATCAGCTGTGACCTTCAAGTGATACTAGCGTTACACGGTCCTAGAGGCTGTACTGAATCTAGCTCACCTAGACAGACATAGAATCTATTCATAGATGTATATAACTATAGAAAAGCTATCTGCTTGTGAAAAATTTATTTATCTACACACCCTATTTTACCCGGAGCCCCATTAGTTGGAAAGAACATCATAGAAGTGCTAAGCTCTAAACCATTATTATTGCTAACCATTACCTCTCTTAACCATCACTCCTGTTGAATATTAACTTTAGAGAAAGTCTTTTTATAAGCAGGTTGTGGAGGAACTTTTTTAAAGTAACGAAGTAGGAAGTTTCGAACGAGCTCAGAAGTTCTCGTGAGATTACGAAAAAACTCAATGTTTATGAAACTTGAGAAGATGGTTCTAGCGAACTGCTTACCGTCTCCTGCGTGAGAACGGAGACTATATTTTTATAAATATATATAAAGGAGACGACTCCAGAGTTCAACATAAATGTGATTCTATTTTCGTAAATATAAAGTTACCCTAGTTTCTACTCGTACCTGTTTAAACAACGTCTATTTGAAACTTCCGAAGCTCACGGTCAATCGACTACCTCGGATCTATTGATATAAGAATATTTATAAAACAACTTATGCATGGGGTAAGAAAATTCAGTTTTCCCTAATGTGCTTGCAAGAATAGCGTCGCGCCGAGGAGCATCTGCGACAACACTACCTCCTTCGTCCGCATCTCGCGGCGCACTGAGTGGCTGTCATGGACGCGAAGTCGAAGAGGCCACGCATTTGCCAGGTGAGTTCTGTCTTATCTACGTCTATATGTTTGATCTTTTTACTTAAGATTTAATATTACATACTATGCTATCAAATGTGAACAATTTAATGTTATTAGTTCACTTAAGTCTTTTAAAAAGAATACGTTGTCTGCTGTGGTAGGATGGTCTTTACCCTAAGCTATTATATATTTGGTAGCGAATGTCAGGTGACGAGCTTCGATTTGAGGCAAAAAGGTGGAGATTTATAGCGAGAGCGTGAGGACTTAGGGTAATAGTTGAAAATTTAGGGGAAGATAATTGGGGAGATTTACGGGAGTGCTTGCAAAATTAGGGTGATATGTTAAAAATTTAGGGTGAAAGGGTGAGGATTTAGAGTGAGAGTGTGAGGATGTGATGCGATATGGAAGAAATTTGGGGTGAAAGGGTGCGGATTGTGAAGAAGAGCACAATGATTTCGGGTAATAGGTTGGGAATTTGGGGAAGAAAGTTGCTGTTTATGTGATCTCATGTCTTTTCTGAAAGCATGAAGATTTAGGGTACCTAGTAGGTTAAAATTTTACGTTAAAAGCGGGATATTTTGAGTGAGAGTGTGTGGATTTGGGGTAATACGGCTGTAATTTCGGGTAAAAAGGTGGGACAGTTAGGGTGTTATGACGAATACTCGCGGTAAAAAAAGTACACGTCGAAAAAGAGTGAGACTTGTCTTTAATAGCGCTGCAATTTTTGCGCTAGTGCGGGTCATCCTGACTCAGTTTGGCCCGGTCTAATTGTCGTATCAGTGCTACGCCTGCTTACTGCACGTGCTGTGGTGAGAAAGTGCGTCAGTATTTGCACAACACAACCCGTTAATTGTATTGAGTGTAGCCACCCAGGCACGCACCGCGTCTGTAGGTCACCCGAGCGACGGCCTCAGCGCTGCCCTCGTTTCCTGCTTCTGCTCTGCCTCCCCCACCTCCCCCATCTCCCCCACCTCTGTCTCTTATACACATCTAGATGTGTATAAGAGACAGATATGGACCTTTGATTNTTGGAGATTGTCTGTACTAGTCATTATGTTGGAGAGTGTCTGTACTAGTCATTATGTTGGAGATTGTCTGTACTAGTCATTATGTTGGAGAGTGTCTGTACTAGTCATTATGTTGGAGATTGTCTGTACTAGTCATTATGTTGGAGAGTGTCTGTACTAGTCATTATGTTGGAGATTGTCTGTACTAGTCATTATGTTGGAGAGTGTCTGTACTAGTCATTATGTTGGAGATTGTCTGTACTAGTCATTATGTTGGAGAGTGTCTGTACTAGTCATTATGTTGGAGATTGTCTGTACTAGTCATTATGTTGGAGAGTGTCTGTACTAGTCATTATGTTGGAGATTGTCTGTACTAGTCATTATGTTGGAGAGTGTCTGTACTAGTCATTATGTTGGAGATTGTCTGTACTAGTCATTATGTTGGAGAGTGTCTGTACTAGTCATTATGTTGGAGATTGTCTGTACTAGTCATTATGTTGGAGAGTGTCTGTACTAGTCATTATGTTGGAGATTGTCTGTACTAGTCATTATGTTGGAGAGTGTCTGTACTAGTCATTATGTTGGAGATTGTCTGTACTAGTCATTATGTTGGAGAGTGTCTGTACTAGTCATTATGTTGGAGATTGTCTGTACTAGTCATTATGTTGGAGAGTGTCTGTACTAGTCATTATGTTGGAGATTGTCTGTACTAGTCATTATGTTGGAGAGTGTCTGTACTAGTCATTATGTTGGAGATTGTCTGTACTAGTCATTATGTTGGAGAGTGTCTGTACTAGTCATTATGTTGGAGATTGTCTGTACTAGTCATTATGTTGGAGAGTGTCTGTACTAGTCATTATGTTGGAGATTGTCTGTACTAGTCATTATGTTGGAGAGTGTCTGTACTAGTCATTATGTTGGAGATTGTCTGTACTAGTCATTATGTTGGAGAGTGTCTGTACTAGTCATTATGTTGGAGATTTTCTGACTAGTCATTATGTTGGAGATTGTCTGTACTAGTCATTATGTTGGAGATTGTCTGTACCAGTCATTATGTTGGAGATTGTCTGTACCAGTCATGCGGTTGGAGATTGTCTGTACCAGTCATTATGTTGGAAATTGTCTGTACCAGTCAGTATATTGGAGATTGTCTGTACCAGTCATTATGTTGGAGATTGTCTGTACCAGTCATTATGTTGGAGATTGTCTGTACCAGTCATTATGTTTGAGATTGTCTGTACCAGTCATTAGGTTGGAGATTGTCTGTACCAGTCATTAGGTTGAGATTGTCTGTACCAGTCATGAGGTTGGAGATTGTCTGTACCAGTCATTATGTTTGAGATTGTCTGTACCAGTCGTTATGTTGGGGATTGTCTGTACCAGTCGTTATGTTGGAGATTGTCTGTACCAGTCATGAGGTTGTAGATTGTCTGCATCGTCTGCATGATTGAATGAAGGCTAAACCACTCACTGCATTACCCTTGCTAACCTTGCCAGCCAGGTTAACCACGTTATCTGTTGCCCCGTTCCCCCGCATGATTATGGTCAAGTTATCTGTGTAGGCTGCGTATGTTATCAGTATTTATGGCGTTGGTATCCTCAGACGTTATAGCGATAACGATTCTTAATAATCCTCTTACCTGAATTAAATTTATGATAGAAGTTCTAAGAATTTACTGCCGTTGATCATCTAATTATCTGTGGATAAGTAAATAAATAATTGTTTTCTGCTCACTTAATCACCCTCTCTCTCCTTCCCTTATCACCCTTGTCGTCTCAATCATCTCTCATACTCCATTCACACAGTCCGCTAGAATCACCCTGCATTTTAGTTTCGTCTACCCCGAAACCCTTTAACAACCCAATGCGCTAACCACCTTCGGCTTCGGCTACCTAGCTACTCCCGAGACACTAATCACCTTCGCCGCCCTAACCCCCTTCACCAAGGAGCTCCAATCACCTTCTTCGCTCTAACCACCTTCCTGATCGTAATCACTTCCAAATCTGGGATCATATCCCCTTCAGATCAGTGGGGACGTACCCCCTCCGCCCTAATCTCCCTCGCCGCCTTTAACCAACCTCTCATCCCTAATCATCTTGCCGACTTAGCCATGTCTCGCAGCCCTTATCGCCCTTTTCACCACTATCACCCCCATTGCCATAACTCCCCCCGTGACCAAAATTACCTCCCTCACCAGATCTGCGGGGACGTGGCCAAGTCCATGCACTTCGGGGGACTTTGCTGCGACTCCTGCAAGGCCTTTTTCAGGCGGTCGGTGCAGAGCGACGGCTTCCGAAACTTCAAGTGCAGCGGCGATAAGCGCTGCAGCATCTCCATCGCCTCCAGGAAGTTCTGCAAGCTCTGCAGGTGCTGTGCGGAGCTGTGTAGTTCTGTGTTGTGCTATCTAATGATGATAAGGCCTGTAAAGTGCTGCTCGATGCTGTGCGGTGCTGTGTAATGTGTGTGATGATGAGTGCAGGCTCTGAATGGACCTTTGTATGCTGCCCCTACCCGAAATAATGTTGAATCCCCGGAAATGACTTTACCGCCTTGTGTCTACCGTTGCATTTAGCTAAAACTAACATAATGATATGTAACCTAAATTTAAACATAATGATATGCATTTTTCGTCAGCGCTTCCGCTCAAGTGTTGATTGCAACGCCTGTCTGTTCGGCAGGTTCAACAAGTGCGAGAAGGTGGGCATGGTGCGCGAGTGGGTGATGAGCGAGGAGGAGCGCATCCAGCTCATGAAGAGTCGACTAAATAAGAAGGACGAAGCAACCACCTCGGAGCTGAATAGTTGTGCCGTAGATGCGGCCCTCGTGAACTCCTACAAAGGGCGCGTTGCGTTAACCGCTAGTGGGGCACCTAATCTACATGGCCTCAACCGCCGCCGCCACATGGAATATCGACGGCGCGAAATCGACGAAGGTGAGGAGCAGACGACGTGCGTTGGTGAAGACAGAAATGATGCCCCAGAAAGGGACCGAAGTGTGAATAAGAAACTCTTACTTGAACCGGGGGAAGTTGACCCTGGGTTGTACCGCATCAATAACAAGCTCGAGCCAGGCCAAGTTGACCACACCCTCTACCGAAAGCCACGTAAGAAGAATAATATAGCCGCTAAGGGGATTCCCAAACCTGGATGTAAAGAAGATGAAGCCGCTGTGGAGGTTGAACCCGAAGACGATGACAAATCTTTGGAAAAGGAGGCTGCCTGCATTGTGGAGGTAGAGCCACAGACGAAAATGTCTACCTCGTATTTTTGTAAGAAAAGGAAACAGAAAAGCAACTCATACAGTTTTGACAAAACGGCATGGCGGTCGTCATCTGAGAGCCCGTCCTGTAGTGAATATGAAGCTAAAAGTTGTCAAGATTCTTCAAAAAAAGCCCTTCTAGGGGAACCTAATCTATTTGAAAAGAATACAGAGTACAAATCTCTTGATTATTATGAGGTGGCGGCTGTGCAAAACACAGCTGGCAGTTCATTGACATGTCGATCTCCTTCCTCGGATGAAGGGGGGACTTCCCCACAATTCGTTGAAAATCGTCGCACCTCCCCAGATTGTCGACGTAATATTTTACTCAACCGTCGTCATCCTGGAAGCTCAGACAGTCTAAAAATTTCATGCTTAGCTTTGGAGCCTCAATCATTATGCAAGTCTAGTTTAAACTCAAACTCTGGCCTTGGTTCTGCTGGAAACTCGCTACCTAACTCACCATCATCGCCAGACGACGATTGCAAAGCTGATGACGTTAACGCCAGCCTCACCGACAGCAGCGATTTTTCCGTCTGTCCCGACGACAGCTCGAACGATCAATCTCTGAATAGCTTCCCGCGAGACCCTTATAAATATGCTATCATGATCAACGAACGACCTGGTCTACCCATCACTAACTACATGCAGAACCACGAATTATACAAGCTCAAGGCAGTCGTGAGAAGCATACAGCGCGTCGAACACTGCTTACCTTACCCAAGTGAGGCAAGTACGTGTGTCATGAGCACCTACTCTCACTTCATCAAACGTGTGTCCTTTTTCTTGGACCAGTTCGAGGAGTTCTCGAGCATGCCCATCGCAGACCAAAGCATTGCCATCGAAAGCAACATCACGGCCATTGCATTGGTTTTTGGCTCAAGCTTCCTGGATGGCCGCTCGGGTGCTTACAAGAATTTTTTGCCCTCGCCCATGGAGAAAGTCACTGACATGCCGGCGATTGAAGCCACGCTAACCCCTAACATCTTTCGTAAATTTCAGGAAGTCATTGGGGTACTTGGACAATTTCAGGTTGACATTCGAATGGGGTACATGGTTATTCTGATAATTGTGTTGAGTCGAAGAAACGACCCTAACCACCACTGTTTCTACCGTAAACTTCTTTACAATTACATTTGTTGGAAATATGGAGAAGCCAATGCTGAGCACATCAACAAGCATCTCTTTAAGGCCATAGCGGGCATCAAGCAGCACTCGGGTATTTTTGAGAGCATGTGTGCGAAGCCTGATCGTAGAGATTCGTTCGATGAAGAAGGATTCTCAAAACGAATCAAAACTGAATCTCCAGATGATGACTTGCAGCCTTCGTTGTCGTTCATGAGTGACACAATCCCGTACCAAATGGGTGACATCCCCTCTGGAGCTGCAGCTCCCGACATCAACGTTCTTCGTGACATGTTTTTCAGCGGAGCGAGTCGAGAAGAGCTTTGCAATTACTACTACCATGGTACATCCAACACCGATGTTAAAACTGAACCTTTCAGCTCTGACTACGAAGCTTTCTGCCCCACGTCATCTTCCAGTGTCCTGCAAGATGTGATAACGAACAACAACTCCCAGAAAGATCACTTCGAGTTAGGTGTGTGTAACTACACGGATTCCTCAACAATCACTTCTCTTGAGGACCTTAAAGTACCTCCACACACAGTTGATCTCAGTGATACCAGCAATCCGCTCAACCTCGCGAGCTATGGCGAACATGCATCACTGATCGAACAATACGGCACATTCTTTAACAAAAACATGGCCGAATCCGTGAATCAGTTAAGTATGGCTGATTCTAGCCAGCTACCCATCGCCGAGTCCACGAGTCAACTTACTATCACAGATACTACGAGTCAGCATCCCATCGATGAATCGATGAGTCAGCTGCCCATAAATTTCTCTAACCGTTTGAGGTCAAGTGATGGTTCGAGCATGCAAGAAATCATTGCGAAACACGGAGCTGACAAGCTGCGAGATCTTTATCTTGCAGGGGACATGGCGAGTTTGAAGTCAATGTTCACTTCTGCCAGCTCCACCTCGCTGACACCCACTGGAATAGACGTACCGGTACCTGTTAACTCAGCACACAACTACCCCATCTCGGCTATATCCAACCAAGGTGTCCATTTTTTAGACCAAATCGCCAATTTGGAAGAAACGCGAAGTAATTTGTCTGTTTCTGACTTGAAGCCAAACATGAACACACAATACAACTTGGGGAGAAGTTGTTCTTTGTCTCCTTCCTTACGGAGTCACCAAGAGACTCGGATGCCTCAGAAATTTTCAGCCCAAGGTTTCTCGATGGGACATCTTCAGGAATCCTACGACGTTCCCACTCCACGTCCCACCAAAGCCTCCTATGTACCTGTTCCTCATAGTTTCTACAGCCCTCAAAGTACTTATGATCCAACGCCTCCCCATTCTGCCAAGGATTCGTATGACCACATTCCAGCTCGCTTATCGAGCCCCTTACCAGCCCACGCAAAGTTTGGCAGCTCTAAGGACATTTTGTCCTCCATGTCGTCGTTTCAATTTTCAACGCCATCGTCAGCCGCTGCTTCGAACTTTTCTGCTTCGATGAAACGAAATAGTTTGGGGCGAAATTCTTTTTCAGCGAAGTCGGATGATGTCACTACAACAAAGAGCTGCAATAAAAATGACAATTTACTCGTCAGTGGGTTGACCAGTGAAATAGACCTATCTTTCAAAGGGTTGAACAGTCTAGACTTGTCTCTCAGTAGGTTGAGCCCTGGTAAGGACTTGAGCCGCACTGGAATGAGCACTGGGAGGGACTCTGTCAGTGGGTTGAACAGTAAGGGGGTATTACCAGGCAGTGGGTTGATCGCTGGTAGGGACCAACCTCTTAGCGGGTTGAGCAGTGACAAGGACTTTCAACCATACAGTTCAACTGTTGGAGTTGAACCCAACATAATTTCACCGCGCCACTCCCCTGAGCGACTCAAAGACTTGGAGAGAAGCCATTTTAATCCATCGAATTATTTAGACTAAGCCGAGCTCACATATTGCTCATCATTATTGTTATAGGCCGTTGTGTGAATGGTTTTTGTATGGAAAAATATTCTGAGAAGGGTTTTGAAAATAGAAATTTGTTTGACCTCCGTGTGACGCGAGTGTAGTCTAACTCTAGAAGTTTCATGTTGCACGCACTGCTCTGCACCATCGTTAAATACATATATGAGTTAGGTGATCATAAGTGGGAGGACGATCGTATGGCTGAAGATGATCGTCAGTGGTGAAATGATCTGAAGTGTGGGATAATGAAATGTTTTAGGTAGATTGGTTGTGTTTAGATATGATATTTTTGGTTTAAAATCATCTCAAGTTTTGGGATGATTGTGTGGTTTAAGTTGATCTAAAGTGTTAAGATGATGGTCTTAGGATGAAACTGGATGATCGTGTATCCCGCTACCACGTCTGCTAGGCAGGCATCGATCCAGACGTGAATGGTAGTTGATTATGCGTAGTCGCTGAACCTGCCACCATCACACTAGCATTCTCAGCAGAACCTGAGTTTATGTTCAACGTTATATTTATTGTTCACTGTAGGAATGATTCTCGAGTATTATGATTGCTAAGTATTTACCGGCGTGATGACAGACTAGTTAAAATCACCTAGATTGGAGCATGGAGTTGCGCGTTCGACACCCGTAGCCAGCTGTGAAAATTCGGCAATGTCTAGCATGGGCAATAGGTTAGGCATGATCTCTGTTCGTCAGCGCTTATGTCAGTATATTACAATTTCGTATTGTATTAACCACAAATTACTGGCTTGCCAAAAACTCAACTTATCAAACCTCAAAATTCAAAAAAGGAATCTTTTCAACCAAGCGACAGTCTCGAAAACCTTCATCCATCGACATGCGGTCTAGAAACCAACTCCAGAAACCTACTTAACCTCGCCTAAACCCCACCTAACCTCGCAGGCAAGACGGCGACCCCATTTAAACCCCACCTAACCCCACAACGCGGAATTAGTTTACTTTTAATTCACTTCATTGACGTAACTAATGCACTGTTGTATTGATGTGTTCACCGTAATCAAATTAATTAAGAGATCTGTTGTGTGCAGTGTGATAAATATAATGGACCTATTAAAAAGATGTAATTCATGTTTTTGATTGTAATGCTGACAAGTTGATTGCCTTCGATGAAGATAATACTGCATTATATATATTGAAATATTATATAATGAATATGATATATATATATATTGCATATATATACTGAATCTTTCTACTATCGTCGTATTGGTTTAATGAATATTGATATATATGGAATGTATTCGTCCGAAAAGTTCGTACGTCACCTCTGTTCCAATATACAATTCTGTTATGATGTACAAGTTTAATTGTGTCTTCAATATGGCGTAACTTTTCATGCTATGGCGCAAATTTTTATCACCTGTGAGTTCATTACGGACTTGAAATAGATTTATGATGCGTGGGAGCGTAGAGCAATAAAATTAATTCAATGGATTTTTTCTTTCTGAAGAGAAATGAATTGAAATACCTTATTATTAGAATATTAGTTTCAATTCAAGATTTATTACGATAAAACTAACTGCATAATACAAAGGTATTGCTCAAAGGTAGGCTTTGAAAATTTGTGTAGCTTTATTTTTGCCTTTATTGGACATATGATAATGTTTCGTTGCTTTATTTTACACATTATTAGACACGTGATTCACGTCGACTAGCCCAAAAGCTCCAACTTCAGTTCATATTAACTGGCCACCGCTAACGCGGCTATAATTTTCAATTTCGTTCGTTTTCGAAAACATCAACCAAAGTCAGAATTATTTCACGTTTCATTTCATCAATTTGCCGCTGAGTATTCACGAGTTATTAATAACAAGAAACTTTACTGGACAAAAACGTTTAGAGGAAACGGAAACGTTATAGGAATAGCCTGCATAATCAGTGCAGAACGTTCGGAATCAAACCAAAAAGTTCCATAAAGAGACTTCCTATACATTAATGCTAACGTTTATGGCAAATATGTTAATTAATCTCATGTGTGCAATACAAGTCCTGACAGAAATGCTGATTAATATTATGTATGCAAAATACGGCTTGGTAAAAATTCGGAGTCATCTTATGTGTTTGGAACGATTTGTCAGAAATACTCCATACATACATAGTCCCTCATTTAGTGTAGCTAACTTGCTTAGATACATTTTTCACATGCATTAAAAATATTCTATATCCATTCTATTGTCGTCCATTTAGGTAATTGTGCCCACCCCTCATATCGTCATCATTGTTGCGGTGCACAATACTTGATAACCCGCTCTGTGCGCAGGCTTCTGGTTCACAGCAATAGATGGTGTACGGATTGTGTGTACTGTGTGTTCTATTGTGTGTTCGGACATTAGGATTGTATATATTGTTTGTTGTTATCACCTTGTAATCAATGAGGGAACAAGACATTTACTTAAGCTTTGATTATTACCGTCTTTGATGGTTAAGCCGTAGCCGCTGGAACGCCAACTGTTGGCAGATGGTCGCAGGACTGTCCACGGTCGGCGGATGGTCGCTGGACTCTCCACGATCGGCGGATGGTCGCAGGACTGTCCATGGTCGGCGGAGGTCGCTGGACTGTCAATGGTCGTCAGATGGTCGCTGGACTGTCCACGGTCGGCGGAGGTCGCTGGACTGTCCACGGTCGGCGGATGGTCGCTGGACTCTCCTCGGTCGGCGGAGGTCGCTGGACTGTCCACGGTCGGCGGAGGTCGCTGGACTGTCCATGGTCGGCGGAGGTCGCTGGACTGGCCATGGTCGTCAGATGGTCGCTGGACTCTCCACGGTCGGCAGGTGGTCGCAGGACTGTCCATGGTCGGCGGAGGTCGCTGGACTGTCAATGGTCGTCAGATGGTCGCAGGACTGTCCATGGTCATCAGATGGTCGCAGGACTGTCCACGGTCGGCGGATGGTCGTCGGACTGTCCACGGTCGGCAGATGGTCGTCGTACTGTCCGCGGTCGGCACATGGTCGCAGGACTGTCCTTTGTCGGCGGATGGTCGCAGGATTGTCCACGGTCGGCAGATGTCGGAAGCAGACGGGAGCTGCCAGCGGTGGTGAAAACTCTCAGTTGAATGTACAAAGGAGCACGAATGAATTACTGTTAAATGGTAAAATAAAGTATTATATCTCATTCGTCGTCTCCTCATTTATTACCTAAGGCGGTTTGTTTTCTAAGTTTCGAATAAATGCATATAGCACAAAAATTTAACATGCCGAGAGATTGTGAGTCTTCCAAATCAACATAATGGTTGACATCACCTGACGCCCTCTCCCCCCCCCCCTCAGCGTCGCGCAGGGTGCACAGGTTTCTTGGACGAACTTTTGAGAAAGTTGGCTCATCAAATCATTTAAGGAAAATGGAATCCTCGAAGAATTTTTAGTTGAAATCTATACGCGTGGCGTCGCAAAAAAAAAAAAAAAAAAAACTTGTCAGGAGCTGCTTTCAAAGGTCTTGGCATCGTTTTCTTCCATTTACGAGTACGAAATTTATACCAGTATATTGAAATCACAAAACAATAACATACTATTAAATCACGAGGCATAACTTCCAAAGATTGGGATACATAATACGAAATCGTCATCGCGATGCGAGCAAAAAGGTAATGGGCCTATCCTTGGGGTAGACAGGACAGGGAGAATTCGGCAGTAAGACTGGGCTCAGTTATGAGGCTCTAAAAAACCTTTGGTTATACATGTCATGAGTTAGTTCGAAACTTTTTTGTTTGTTTGGCGTAATGAGATGACAACACAGATCCAAAGATCCTATTCCTTCTAAATACATATATATTAACAATTGGTCGTCATATTAATAAATTCATTTTTATTCCTAACGATCTTGAATAGGGGCACATCAATGAGAAAGCTCATGAATATCAATAAAAATTGTAAGATTGATTTAAAAAAGAGAGGTTGAATAGTGTGTATTATGAATCTTGGGGTAAGAATTATGTGCCCTATACAAAATTCACGTTGTAAACAGGATCGTCATTCGTGACTTCGTCTTGCACCGTCGCACGTTTAGGCCGTGGTTTAGCCACTTACTTGTGCTGCACTGCTGCTTGGAGTTGGAGGTGCTTAACTGTTTGTTAGTGGCTATTTTTTCGAAGTAACTAACTGGCGTGAGGATTAAAGCCGTGAGCTTTTTGAATTATTAAGTTCTCCATTTTTACTTTGAATCTCTACAAAATGTCACTTCAATTAGTAGATGATGCTTTAGAGCTACTGGATTCTGACATAGGTGAGCGTGAGTTAAGAAACAATACGTTTATTCTTGAAATTTTTGGAATTGTAAACTCCTTCAGGTTCGGGACTTGGTCTAGTTTGGAGCAAGTCTTAAGTAAGTTCAATAGTGACTGCTGACTAGGCTAGTCAGTGCTTTAGAGTTTAGATCAACTGCTGGCTTCAAGGTTTGAACAATTCTATTGTCACTCCTAGTTCCCTGAACAGGCTGAACAAAGTCTATTACAATGAGAACATATTACTTAGTAGGAAAATGTATTAGGCCTATCTGGTTTCCGACAACTGAAATGTGCACAAATCAATACAAATGGTACTATTGGTTATCATGCAGAATAAAGACCCTGAAGGGCTGAAAATAGACTTTTTTTAGTTTCTTATGTATCTTGTGCTGCAGCAGCTGCAGTGCAGCTGAGCATAGTGGCAAACCAGTGATTTTTTAGAATCAGTTCATTTTTAATTTTCTCATTTACCCAAGATTTAAGCCATTAAAGCCAATATCTTATGTATTTGTTAATTAAAACGTAATTAAGTAGTGTTCAATATTCGTTAGTGTTCTAATTCAAAGCAGTGTTGTATCCCAATACAGCTCACACAGCAAACGGAATTCGAACACGTGGATGTTGGCAATACGTATCAGTTAAATTTGAAGCGCTGATGCAATACGACTCACCACGTGTTGAATATTGCCACACAAAGTGACGGAATATAGGGATTTGGTAGGTTTCCATTCTAAAGGCTTTTTAATAAATATGGCAATATTTTGTGACGTTTCATTGTTGCTGACGCGTAGTGAAGTGTTTTGAGAGTCATGTGAAAGCAACAGAACTTACGTAACGCATACGTTTTTTTTATAGTTTTTCATTTCTCGATGCGTCCTTAATGTGTCGGAATATACCGCGTTTACCCTATGAATATTGCAAAATCTTTGGCGATGCTTCTGTATCAAAATTTACGCCTTCAGAAGATCTTGCCAACGCATTTAGATTGAAATTCTTGCATTTAATATATTTATCAGTCTTCCGCCAACTATTTAGAAAAAAAGTAAGGTTTCCGCCTTCCGGTAAGATGGATGGATCAGGATACAGGGAAGCTTGTCCAGAAATCACTTGCGATGAGTTCCAGCCAAAAAAAATGTAAACAAGTTTACAATTGCATAGTTGCGGTCACATTAGAGCGGTCAGACTGCATTATCACATGTTCAGTTGACACTTGCTGTAAAATTGGACTGTTATTAGGTTAAATTTAGTTATTTGGGATAACATGTGCATGCAACCTTGTAAATAAGTTTGTGGCTTGTAAATAGTTTTTTATTACTCAGTGTAAATGGCTTTTCATTAAAAACTACCTAGCGACACATCTTGAAAATGGTTGGCGACGCTTTGGGCTTAAAAACCCATATATTGGCGACGCTTCATCCACCATCTGCACCCTGGGCTGCACTGGCAGTGGCAGGCCGCAGGGATGGTCCTCAGTCCTGCATGGAATATATAGGCTAGTAGCCTATAATAACTATATAGTGACAAATCAGAGATTTACCAGAATCAGTTCATTGTTAATTTTCTCATTTAGTCAAGATTTAGGCTAATACCTTATCATCTTATGTATGATAATGCTGGTATCTATGATACTCTACTGGTACTGGTCTAATTATGGGACTCAAAAATGAACTTGAGGGAGAGTCTAAAAAAACTCTCTGCTTTGCCACTATGCGTTGGAGTATGGAGTACCTATATTATTGGCTACGGTATATATACTTTTCAAGCTGTTACTAATGATGGAGCTGTACACCTTTCACATTACTGTAAAATGGGGTAACTTTGACCACTTTTTTTTCAAAATGATGCCATTTTTTTTACTAGATAAGTTAAACTTAAATTGAAACATGCAAAATACAGGTCTATACTCTAGCTTTACTCACCATAAATTGCTGGCTCCTGCCTTTCATAGTTTTGATGTAATTTAAAAAAAAAGTGATGGTCTTTGTTACCCCAGCACCCAGCTCTTGGGGTTTCTTTGACCGGGTGGTAAAATCAATTTTATTTTTTAGAAAAATAACTCCAAATAACTCCAGGTTGAGGTGCATTGTAGTAGAATTCTTCTAGTTACATATACAAAAGACAGATTTTAGGAAAGTGTCATAGTTTGCAAATGGGGGGTGCCGCCCCAAATGGGCAAAATGTGACCACCTAATGCAGCCGTGACGGGGTAACATAGACCGGTTTGGAACTTAAGTTAAAATT